AGCTAATTAATCGGAGGTCAGTAGCAAAAATGCCTCTTACGTTGGTGGTCAGTAGGAAGAATCCATCCTTTGCAGTGGTGGTCAGACAGCTAAATAGATAACTGAACTGGACCATGGTGATGGCTTAGCAACTGGCATTGGTCCTAGAACTATGCAGACACCACCAAGTAGCAAGTCCGTCAGCCACAGCTCAAGGAACCCCTACCATCCTCTGGAGGAGCCCTGGCTGAGCATTGCTTATCTATCCCATTCCTTCCCAGCTGAACTGTCCCTGGCTCACCCCTTTCATACATTGGATTTCAGTTCTGTCAATCATGGAGCCTGAACATCACATGGGTTTTACCCAGGGTGGCTTTCTGTTTCAGGTAACTATGTGCATCTTCTCTCACTAGCCATGATCTGCCTGCATTGCTTAAAGAAACACAGAGACCAAGCGATGACATCACTGAGCCTGAAATAAAGGGATGCAAAGAAAACAAAGTTTTTTTTTTAAATGTCATTGCCATGTTGATGAAAGGGAGAGGGATGTTGTCTTGCAATATACTTTTAGATTCCACAGCTGGAAATGCCCATTTATTCACTAGGAATCCCTTACTAGACCCAGTTCTTTGTTTTATTCTATACCTGTAAAGTATTTGCTTTTCATTTTCTCTATTGTGTATAATTACCATCTTTTCTTCTTTTCCTGATTCTTCACGTTGCTAGGTCTTTCTGGGCCGCCCACTTGTAATATAAAGGTGGATTAGTTGCTGTTATTGTACATTTAGGAATCCTGTAATGTATGATTATTGCTGCTGTAGATTGCATTATTATTATTTATAGTATACGTGTTGGCGTTCGTACTCAGTGAGTAGATACATTTAGTTTATATTTGGATTTGAGATCACGCATATCAATAGTGTCTCTGCAGAGATTCCATCTTAGTAGAAAAGCCAGAGGGTTTGGTGAGTTGTATATCGAACAGTAGCACAGTATGCATCTTTTATAAGTGCTCTGTTCAAGGTAGTTGCATGTTGGTTTTAAATGAGGAAAAATCCCCAAATGTCTTATACTGTTCAGGGTTTATCTACACTTTAAAGTCAACTTTCCATATGACTTCAAAAACTTGATAATTAAAATAAAACCAAAACTTTTTCATGTTATATATATAGAGTAAGGAAGGGATAGAACCCCTGTACATTTCATCAGTTGCTTCCTGGTTTCTGGCCTAAATGATGTCATACATCCCAGGAGTCCTCATGGCCATTTGTTTTCTTCCCTCTGGAAGAGGACTAAAGGATGGGCTTTCTCAGCTAAGAAACACCCTTCTGCCTGCATGCCTGAGTTAAGAGCAGATGGATTCCAGGAAGTAAATGCTACAGGAATCATCTGCCCTTAACCAGGATGGCTGCTGGGAGAAATGCTGGGTTCGGGGTTCAAAGTGATTTCTCAACAGAATAAAGCATGGAGACATGGATGGATAGCTGGGTTTGCTTTCAGTATTAAAAATGAAATAAATAGCATTTTCAGTTTAAGGTTGTCACCACAACAAGAGTAGTGGGATATTTTCTAAAAAAGGACACCTGTTCTGGTGACAATATCTAAGAGGGGCTTTTGCATCACTGTGGAGAGACTTCCACTCACTTCCTGTTGTGTCTCTGAGACAGGAAATGAAGGGAAATCTCCCCCATGAGATACAGGCAGAAGGAAAAAAAAACTGACAATTTTGCCCATTCCATCCAAAACTAAAAAAAAGATGCGATTGCTAGCATGGTACTATCAGTTGTTAGTATAGTGTGGTCAGCAGGGCACTTTTCATGGACCACAAAACATGCAGAGAACAGTGCTATAGTGTGTTGTATGTGAACTTTTTTACATAACTTGCATAGTTCAAATCACAATTTCAGGTGTATATATAATATATAACCCATGTAAAAGGGATGCTAAGTATACAGAAACACTATATTATGTGTAATGGGGCCTGTTAGCATCAATGTGAATCATGTGGTGCCTGCTCTTATATCAGGTTCAGATACATCTGATGTCATAAGAGTTTGGGGGCCACATCAATGTGTACACAGTGGGGGGGTTTTACTAATACTGGACAGTGTAAAATCTTGTGTAGCTGTGCTTAGAAACTAATCAGCTTTCAGGTTTTATTGTCAAAGCTTAACTGAACAAGCTGAAGTTAGAAGCTGATTGACTCCCGTGCACAGCTGCACCAGATTTTGCACTCTCTGGTTTTAGTAACTCCCCCTATTGTGTTATTCCAGATTAAACTAATTGGACACAATCTGCAAAATAGTAGTACCATTTCAAGTTTGCTCAGTATGTCACAATGTAGCAGAACAGAATAGAATAGTGTGCATATAAACCTTTGAGGGGTCATGGTTGTCAGATCACTTGCACAGAATGGTGGATCCACAGGCACCGATGCAGCTCTATTCTTGACTTGGCCAATGATACCAGAATATTGTCAAAAAAAATGTACACCTACATTATATGGTTACAATTATGCAACCCCCCTTCTTAATTATTGAGTTCCATTGAAAGGTGGTGTTAATGCCACAATGCACATTTTAAACAATTGTTAACGTCAAACCCCATGGCAGCAGTTGGAGACTGTTTGTTTCCATGGGGTTGTGCCACTGTCCATAAAGACATGATTTGACAAGCTTGGTGTGGAAGAATGTGAGTGGCTTGCATTGAGCCCTGACTGCAACCCTTTGAACACTTTTGGAATGAATCTGAATGTGTTATATTTCTATGTAGCCAGGAAGGGTGAGCCACAACTCTTCTCTAAAAACATCAGTACCTAACCTCACAAATGATCTTTTGGCTGAATGGGCACAAAATCCCACAGACACACTCCAAAATCTTATGGAGAACCTTGCCAGAAGAGTGGAGGCTGCAATAGTCGGGCAGTGGCAACTCACGATTAATGCCCATGGATTTGGAATGGGATGTCCAACAAGCTCATATACAGTCAGGTCCATAAATATTGGGACATCGACACAATTCTAAGATTTTTGGCTCTATACACCACCACAATGGATTTGAAATGAAACGAACAAGATGTGCTTTAACTGCAGACTGTCAGCTTTAATTTGAGGGTATTTACATCCAAATCAGGTGAACGGTGTAGGAATTACAACAGTTTGCATATGTTCCTCCCACTTGTTAAGGAACCAAAAGTATTGGGACAATTGGCTTCTCAGCTGTTCAATGGCCAGGTGTGTGTTATTCCCTCATTATCCCAATTACAATGAGCAGATAAAAGGTCCAGAGTTCATTTCAAGTGTGCTATTTGCATTTGGAATCTGTTGCTGTCAACTCTCAAGATGAGATCCAAAGAGCTGTCACTATCAGTGAAGCAAGCCATCATTAGGCTGAAAAAACAAAACAAACCCATCAGAGAGATAGCAAAAACATTAGGCGTGGCCAAAACAACTGTTTGGAACATCCTTAAAAAGAAGGAATGCACCGGTGAGCTCAGCAACACCAAAAGACCCTCTAGACCACGGAAAACAACTGTGGTGGATGACCGAAGAATTCTTTCCCTGGTGAAGAAAACACCCTTCACAACAGTTGGCCAGATCAAGAACACTCTCCAGGAGGGAGGTGTATGTGTGTCAAAGTCACCAATCAAGAGAAGACTTCACCAGAGTGAATACAGAGGGTTCACCACAAGATGGAAACCATTGGTGAGCCTCAAAAACAGGAAGGCCAGATTAGAGTTTGCCAATTGACATCTAAAAAAGCCTTCACAGTTCTGGAACAACATCCTATGGACAGATGAGACCAAGATCAACTTGTACCAGAGTGATGGGAAGAGAAGAGTATGGAGAAGGAAAGAAACTGCTCATGATCCTAAGCATACCACCTCATCAGTGAAGCATGGTGGTGGTAGTGTCATGGCGTGGGCATGTATGGCTGCCAATGGAACTGGTTCTCTTGTATTTATTGATGATGTGACTGCTGACAAAAGCAGCAGGATGAATTCTGAAGTGTTTCGGGAATATTATCTGCTCATATTCAGCCAAATGCTTCACAACTCATTGGACGCCGCTTCACAGTGCAGATGGACAATTACCCAAAGCATACTGCAAAAGCAACCAAAGAGTTTTTTAAGGGAAAGAAGTGGAATGTTATGCAATGGCCAAGTCAATCACCTGACCTGAATCCGATTGAGCATGCATTTCACTTGCTGAAGACAAAACTGAAGGGAAAATGCCCCAAGAACAAGCAGGAACTGAAGACAGTTGCAGTAGAGGCCTGGCAGAGCATCATCAGGGATGAAACCCAGCGTCTGGTGATGTCTATGCATTCCAGACTTCACACTGTAATTGACTGCAAAGGATTTGCAACCAAGTATTAAAAAATGAAAGTTTGATTTATGGTTAATATTCTGTCCCATTACTTTTGGTCCCTTAAGAAGTGGGAGGCACATACGCAAACTGTTGTAATTCCTACACCGTTCACCTGATTTGGATGTAAATACCCTCAAATTAAAGCTGACAGTCTGCAGTTAAAGCACATCTTGTTCGTTTCATTTTAAAACCATTGTGGTGGTGTATAGAGCCAAAAATGTTAGAATTGTGTCCATGTCCCAATATTTATGGACCTGACTGTATGTGTGATCATCAGGTATCCACAAATGATTGCCTATATACTGTACATTGTGCGATGCATCCAAAGGTTTGCACAGTTTTCTCTAAGAAATAACTTTTCCAATTTGTATTTGCAGTAGTGAGTATTTCTGGTTATTATTGTTTTGAGGTGAACACCTACAAGACTGGATTGTTTCAACATATTCTTAGATCATCTGTCACATATATGACAAATGTTGGCTTATTAATTTGGCCAATTGCAGTGCTGTATTTTGAGATGTGTCAGTGAACGAAGCTGTGAAAAGTATTTTTAGCAGTATTCATGGGGCAGATTCATAAAATTAAATAAATGCAAGTGTCTGTTGGATTTAACTTCAGGTGAGATAAAAAAGTTAAATAAAATGATGGTGTTCTTGTTTCAGGCGCACTCCCTCCTTACTACGGCCTGTGTGTCCAGTTTGAGGAAAGTGGCTACCTATATCAGGACTGTCCAGTGTACATTGACAACAATGACCAGACCACTGTGGTAACAGATGCTGGAAACTCCACAAGAGAACAAACTGGTATGTGTTTATGTCATTTTACTTTGAATAGATTTTTATTATTAAGATTTTAATAGTGTACAATGAATAGCCGTCAACAATCTCAGTATTGAGAAACATAAGGTAACATAGAACAAGAAGCAAGGATGGATGCAGAGGAGTGCATATATTCCACAAATGTCTAGTTAGAGCCATGTACAGCAGGAAAAGCCAAAACAAAACATGGGAAACATCCCCAAGATAGCCCGCAGTAGTCTCCTCACAGGAAATCTACAATACCAGACACCATGCGTGTCTATGACACCATGCACCCAGAACCAGACCATCACAAAAGAGAGAAAAAAACACAAACAAAAAAAAGGGGGGGGGGGCACATAGGAGAAGAGGAAGATAAAGTCAGATAGACAGAAATTAGTGTCTGGAGTCAGACGATCAAATAACAAACAGATAATCCCTGACCACATTAACCACTTATAAACTAACATGCAAAAAATCAACCCAGGGTTCCCATATACTTTCAAATCTAGCAACGGTATCATGAAGCATACTAACAGTGTTCTCCTGAACCATAATCCAAGTGATCTTCTTTGCTTGGGCTACTGAGACAGTGGGTTGCTTCCATGCCCTAGCAATAGTAATAGATGTCGAGGGGCATCATTTACTCCTGCATTAAGCAAGGCCATTGAAGGGGTTTGAAGAATAGATAGCCCCGTGATGCTACATAAAATGGCGAATATGCCATTCCAAAAGCCTCTTAACTGTGGACATTCACACCATATATGAAACATGGATCCAGTCATGCCACGTCCCCGAAAACATAGAGGAAAGGCCGAGAGATACATTTTAGCTAACCGTATGGGAACCAAGTACCACTGGGTAATTAGCTTAACATTTGCTTCTATCAAAGAGACATTCATAATACCAGAGAATGATCTTACAAATCGTTTGTGCCAAACCTTAATCTCAACCTCCTCCCCAAGATCCTGTTCCTAGGAAACCATATAAGAAAATTTAGAAGGAGGGGCAAGTAGTGGTCCATATATAAGAGAGATACCCCCTCTCTGGCTAGTATCCTGAGTGCACCATTTTTTCCTAAGGAGAGAACCTATACTGTTCGGCTGATTGAGCTTGAGGAACTGCAAAAAGTGCGAGAGTTGGAGAAATCGCAAACAGCTCAGTTTGGGGCATTTTTAATACCTCGGTACAATAGCGTAAAGTAAAGGGCCCTCTATGGGTAAAAAACTGTCCAATCTGATACAACCCTTTGTCAAGCCACCATTTAAATGCCTTAATATCCTGCCCTGGCGGAAATTTAGGATTATTAAAAATATGGGTTAACGGATAGAACGGGGAGACCAATGTGAAGTTAGCCTTGAGCCTAGCCTACTTGTGTTCCTGTAATCCACAGTGAACACCTCTGATGTTGGGGTCCGATCGGATTGCCACCGCAAGGGTTTCAAAATGGCTATAGCAAAGATCATGGGAGATAAGGGGCACCCCTGCTGTGTACCCTGAGCTTGTTTATGTAATTTTAAAGAGCTGTATTGTCTGGTAGTCTTGATGCAAAGAAGATCAAACCTTATATGAGGGAGGTCCACAAGTTAATTTTATGGAAGCTTTGCTGCCAAATTCTGGTGTCTTCAATCAAAATCTAATTTAATTCAAGACATTTCAGCAGAATCTGCATCTGAAATGATGCATGTTTTAAGTTCTCCTAACTATTTTGGAATCCGCCCTCTTATAGTGGTAGTAAACTTTTTTTTTTTAAACTTTTACTTACAGGTAAGCTTATATTTCCTTCAGAGTACTGTGCTGTGGCTGGAACGAACCTGGACGGAAGACCGGGTGAAGATGAAAGCCCCTGCAGTGGTGACAGCGCTCCGCTAGAGGGCTTTGTTTTAACCACTTGCCATCCGCCTTCTGTTTTTAAACGGCAGGGCGGTGGCACTCCAGGGGCGGGTTGCCGTTCATAAACGGCACCGCTATTTCTAGTTGTGCATGCTCCGTGGGAGCGCACAGCACCACGATGCGGTGCCCGCTGTGTCCTCCGGACACAGTGAAACACTGATCGTCGGACGGGACCTCTGTACGAGGTCCCGATCATGTGATCACTGATTGGCCAATCAGTGATCACATGCAAAGTAGTAAGCAAGATGTCACTTGTGACATCATTGCTTACTACGTGTGAAATCTGTGAATGATCACAGAGGTCACATGGTACAAGGCTATTCACAACAGCCTTGTACCATGTGACAAGCTCTGACCAATCACAACTCACACAGTATTTCTCAATGGTTGCAAGAATGCAGACAGAGAGAAAGAGAAATGATTGCTTTTACATCCTATATGGGTGTAAAAGCAATCACTGTAAAAAAAAAAAAAATCTTCATCACCCCCCACAAGTAGTAAAGTGTCACCAAGGTGACATTGTACTGCCAGGGTGACCGTATGTCCCCCCCCCCCCCCCCCCCCAAAAAAAAAAAAAAAAAAAAAAAAAAAAAAAAAACATAAATAATAATATAAAAAAAAAAATAAAATGTAAAAAAAAATGTTTAAAAATTATAATTTTTGGTTATAACTAATTTGGCGTATTTTTTTTTTTTAACTAAAAAGATAACGGAATAAAATTTTGGGCAAGATTTATGATGAAATATTTGCAAAATTTTATAAGAAAAACACTTTTTTCAAAATTTTTGGACTTTTTCATTTATATAGCAAAAATCCCAGCGTTGAATAAATACCACCAAAATAAAGCTTTATCTGTCTAAAAAAAATGGTAAAAAATTCATATGGGTACAGTGTTGCATGACAGCGCAATTGTCATTCAAAGTGTGATAGCGCTGAAGGCTGAAAATTGCCCTGGACAGGAAGGGGGTAAAATTGTCCGGACAGGAAGTGGTTAAGGTAAGTCCTCCATAATGTGCTAGTATGTGATGCATACTAACACATTATGACATTTCCTTGCAGGGGATTTTTTTTTCACCTGCAGTTTACTACTGCTTTAACTTTTGCCAGATTGCATTCTCACATGTTATTTTGTAAGATTTTCTGAAAATTATCAATGTAGCAATGCAACCTCACACACTTGACTCTTTACATGATTTTACAAATTTTAAAGTGCACTAATGTTGAGACTATGAACTTTAAAATATTTCCATGTTTTTAGTAGGCAGTAAAAGAGCTTTGAAAGAGAATTATGGTCAAAGCTTTTTTATCACAGTGGGTCACAGAAGTGCACTTACTTTTGCTATATCCAGAATCAGCAGATAGCATGCTACCATCCACTATCAGCTGACATGGCAGAGCCTCTACAGGCTGTGGAAGAATCCCAACAATATTTTCGGGATCCACCCAGAGCCCTGATTGACAGCTGGTTCCTCCTCTGGAGAGTCAGAGCCAGCCACTAGTGTGAGAGTGTGTGACTGACAGTCACCACTCTCTGCTCTGAGCAGGCTGAGAACTGAGCAATTGGCGGTAATGTGATTGCTTAGTTCTTCAGCTTAGAGTTGACAGCTGCAGTATCACACCACTTCTGCAGCATATAGGGGAGCACTTATGTTTATTTTATTACAAACCCCAAACTTCTCCTTTAAAATCATGCCACCCCTTGCCTTTCTAGCTCCATATACTGTGAAGTAATTCAGCCTGAAAAAAATTACAACAAAGACTATAAGGGCTGGTTCTTGGTGAAGGAAATGCACCGCGTTCAAAAAGCATTGCAGTTGTGATCTGCAGCTGGTAACAATATCAAGTTAACCCCTTCACGTCTAAGGGTAAAACAAATCTAAATGCCTAAGCATAATTCTGCAACGTTGACATGGGACAGTAAAACGTACATATCATCACAACTACTTTGTACATCCAGGTGAATTATACCTTGATTTTTTCAGGGCAAATTGGGCTTTCATTTAGTGGTAAATGGTAATGGATATCTCCTGATTTTTTTTATTATCAAAAACTGGCTCAAAATAGTAAAAAAAAAAAAAAAATCATTTTTTGTTATTTAGCTGTGTTTTCTTGTTACGACCATAACCTATCACCAAAGTACAACCCAAAATAAATTCTCCAGCTCTTGACGATCACAGCGATACCATATATGTGTATGTTATTTGTTTGTGTGTACCCGTAGTACAGCCCAGAAACAATAGTGTGCATTTTGTTTTTGTCTTTTTTTTTTTTTTTTTTTTTACCTAAAACACACTGACATTAACACTAACTGACACTGTTACCAATTTTTTTTTTTTTTTTTTTTTTAAATCCTGACCTTTGACCCAGACCTTGACCTAATCACTAACCCTGTCACTGAACTAGATCAAACCTTGATCTAGGTATTTTTCTTTAGTTTTTTCTTTTAATTTTTAATATTTATTCTTTTTTTTTTTTTTTTTTACAAACATTTTTTTTTTCTCTCTATGCCAGGAGTTTGAGAGATATAATTTATCTCTCTTCTCCATTCATAGACAGAGAAAAAAACAAGGGGGCCGGGCTGCACAGTGACTGATCACTGTGATAGCCAATCAGAGGCTATCACAGCGATCATGTGACTCGGAATCGGGAGTCCCCATTCCCGATCGTTAGAACAGGACCCAGTGCTCAGTGGCACCGCTGTCTCAGTGCTGGGAGCACGCCGAGCGGTGCGCTCCCAGCACAAAGACAGGTACGCAAATATGCAGCCCCACAGAAAAAAGCCCAGTTCCATGAGGCCGCATATTTGTGTGACGTCGGCGGGAAGGGGTTAATGACATCCCAAGTGCAGGTTGCAAATGCAGTGCATTTGCCCAAATCAGATCACATGGTACAGAAGTATCATGAGATGCAGCTGCAGTGAGGTTTCAAAAGTACTGCATGCACTACGTTTGGTGCGATGTGATTTCAGCCCATTCACAATGAACTGCATGTTATTCTCACAGGAATGCACAGCGTGTTCCTGTATGATTCCCGTGGTGAACCGGCCCTAGAGTTTCTGACACTTGCTAACTGTTTACTTGGAGGGCTGGCAGGCTGCCAACATTTTGCTGCTCTTGAAAATAATAGGAAAATATTTAAAGCTGTCCCTCAAGAAAAACAAAAACTGTTTTGGGTGGTTTGCTATGTAAAAATAAATTCTGTCTATTGATGCCTGCCCACATATGGCTGATACTCCATTCTATGAAATTACTACATTCACCTGTACTGCAAGCACTGAATGCCTGGCATTGAGTTTTGAGACACTGAGTAGTTTTACCGGTACTACACTGATCATAGCAATTCGCTTGTTGTACACTTCCTCCATCCGAAAAAGCCTTGTTTTCTTTTGTGTGATTGAAGGAGGGGTTGTCACAAGCTCCTCCTCTTCAATCACAGAAAGTCTTTCATTCAGTGAAAAGAATAGAAGGCCTTTCTGAATGGAGGAGGTATAGAGCGGCAACCTGTTATGATCCCATTCGGGATAACTGTTAGATACTACAGCAACCATGTAAAGGCCAAGTAGTTAGAAGAATGGTGGAAAAAGTTCTGAAACTATTTATCTTTGTCTCATTTTTTTACATCACAGAAACTTGACATTTTAACAGGGGTGTCTAGACTTTTTATATCCACTGTATATGTTTTTTTTGTGAATTCGCAGTGTTTTTTCACTAATACTCTTTCTTGTTTCTCATGTTTTTAAGAAGACCAAAGGTCCAACTTCCTACCTCAGAATTTTCTCAGGATATCAGAGGTGGAAATGCGAGGTTCTGAAGATGTGACTTCAGGAACTGTACTTCAGAGACTGATCCAAGAACAGCTTAGATATGGCAACCCCAATGAGAATATGAACCTCCTTGCTATACAGCATCAGGCAACAGGGACTACCGGACCAACCAACGTGACCACTAGCTCTGTTTCCTCTACAGAGAACCTCACTCAAGAAGACCCACAAATGGTCAGCCAGTCAGCCCGGCAAGAACCACAGGGGCAAGAACATCAGGTGGACAACACCGTGATGGAAAAAACACTGAGGAACTCTCAGCCCCAGCAAAACAACGAGGAGCTACCTACCTACGAGGAGGCAAAGGCTCAATCACAGTTTTTTAGAGTCCAACCAGGACCTATGGGACCTGGATTTTATGTCGCTGGTGTGGTGGCTAACCACAAATCTAAAACGGAAGGCCGGGCAACTGTAAGCCGGGCCAGCAGTGGACAGGCTCATAAAGATGAAGTACTTAAAGAACTCAAACAAGGTCATGTGCGCTCTCTGAGTGAGCGAATAATGTTGTCGCTTGAAAGGAACGGCGTCAAACAGCACTCCTCTACTTCTGGTAGTATTAAAGGTTTAAAAAATTGTGTCCCTTCTCCAGTCCCAACCTCAGGAAAGGGAACGGAGCAAAGAGGGCCTCCCCCGGACTATCCTCACAAAATCAAACAGGCTCCAACTCCTGTGAATAAAATTCAAGAGCAGGGACACTTTTATAATGAACACCAATACCCAATGGTGCACGAAATGGTGAAGGCCTATCCAGGCTCCCAACCAGCTAGAACTGAGGTTTCTATTCTACGCTACCAGCCTCCCCCAGAATATAACATCACCAGGTAATGAGAATTTACGTTAATAAATGGAAAGTGAAGTGTATTTTCAAACACCACATATTATGATATAACGTATTTTACATATATGTGATGCAATATCTCTTTAATGGGGACAGAGGCAGAAACAGCATTTCATTTCTCTGGAATTAGGCTTAAAGCGGAACTTCACTCAATCAATATTGACTATTTCTAATCCTTATGCTGCTAGCCTTAGTAAATAGATAGGAAGATATATTATATTTACTTGTTTTAAACATTTTCACATTTCTTCAGTTACTTCCTGGTTTCCAGACCTAGGTAAATGATGTCATACATCCCAGGAGTCTTCAGGAAGGGAGGAGGGATTTTCTCAGCTAAGCACACCTTCTTGCCTGCTTGCCTGAGCTAAGGGCAGATGAATGCCAAGAAGCAAATGCTGCATGAATCATCTGCCCTTACTCAAAATAGCCACAGCCAGAAATGCTAGAGCTAAAGTGATTTTTCAACAAAATAAAACATGGCGACATATATGGATGGGGAATTTTCTCTGAATATTCAAATCAATTAAATAGATTTTTTGGTTTGTGGTGCTCCGATGCAGTGTAGCTCAGCTTTTAGGCCAGGTTCACACTACTATGGATCTGTGAGCTGCGTTTGCATGGGCACAGCAGCCTATTCATTTGAATGGGCTGCTGTGCCTGCGTTTTATGCAAGAAAAAGGTTCCTGCACCATTTTTAAAACACAGTGGCAGAAGCACCATGCAGTTACCTTGCGATTCCCTCAAACTGCTGTATTGTTAGATGCGTAGGGGTGCCATTAATGAATGACAGAGCCACTCGTCTATTAAGAGCAGTACGTTTAGGTGCAGGTGGTTACGGGTGCGATTCCCACACCTGCAGCTACTCACAATAGCATGAACCTAGCCTAAGAATGAATGACAGTCCCATGCATCTGTATAGAGTAGCGTGTTTTGGCTCCAGGTGGTTGCTATACCTGCACCAGCAACCACCTGCAATAGTGTGAACCTTGCCTTACCAACTTTTGTGATAAGATATCATCCACAGGGAGTGTGTTTTTTCATGAGCTGGTCGGCTCACAGATTTAGGCTAGCCTTACACAATTAGATTAATCCCATGGCTGAGATTAATAGGAAAAAATAGATTCTCCCATCCACGTGTGGATGGAGGAAAATGCACTGCCAGCTATTGTGTTCAGACAGTAGCAGCGCTCACAGATCCATGAATACCCCAACAGTGACTGCATCTGATAGGATGCAGTCTCTGTTTGGCCAATACTTTTCCAGCACAAAAACAGGTATGCACAAACGCAGCCTCAAAGAAGAAGGCCCAACTACTTAAGGCCACATATGTGCGTACACTCATTAGCAAGGTTAAGTTATAGTGAAACAAGTTAGAAACTTGCCATTTTTTAGCAAACACCATGCTTACAAGTCACATGATAGAGAATGTATACAATGCTCTTGTTTTTTGTCTAGATTGTGATGGTCCTATTCTATTTTTTAAGGTGACGTTAAGGCCCCTTTCACATGTAGGGGCCGATCAGGTCCACCTGTCACTTTTTCATGCGGACCTGATCAGATGATCCATTCACATCTATGGACCAGCACGTGTCACCTGTCTTCCTCCAATCCAGTCCACTTAAATTAAAAAATATGTATATAAAGGGGATCTGTACCCTTCCGTCTACGTATTGAGGTGTAAATGGGCAGTGGAGTCCCCTCAGCCCCCCATAAATCAACCCGCTGGGTTGAATGAAAAACTGAATGTGTGTACCAGACATAAAGCTATGTTATCACCCAGCTCATGGAATGCAGAGTACGGGGGTGTAATACCTAAATTCTTTTAAAATATTTTGGCAACCAAAGTCATTCCTAGATAGGTGTTTGAACTGTACAACGGATTGTTTAGCCACAGTATCTCTTTTTATTCAGGATCCCATCCTGACGGCTGAGTGAAATGACAACCCTGTACGTTTTTCTAATATGAATGAATAATGATTCTTCCATGTTCTGTTCCCAATTACGTAACTCTACTAGAAAAACAATACATGAGGGACATTGAAGAAAATTCTCATGTTAGTGCAGCTGAGATGCTGCAAAAGTGTGGGAGATCCAGCCTTGGGATTAATTCATTGTCGATGTCCTGAGCATGAAAATGTTACATGCTAGATATGATTTAAGCCGGAGCAGGATTATATTTAGAACTAACAGATCTATATTTACACAGGGCTGAACAAAGCCCAGGAGTCAGTTCTGGAGATTAGAAACGTTTTTTTTAATCATTTTTATAAACACTTCTAAGGGGCTTTCCACATTCATAGAGAAAGTAGGAAACCCATTTGTTGTAGGGCTTAAAAGAAATCTGCACCTTTAATGGCCATACAATGTAAAACAAAACTTCACATGCATTCCTTTATTTTACTTGGCTTTAGAACTTATTTTAATCATCTCTGATGCATTTACCATTGTAAATTTGGTTTAGAATTCTACAGTGTATTTAAACCCTAGAAATTAATTGTGCCTATTTGCTCTTGTTTTGGTCTGTTAGATCTACAATTCTGTTAAATCTGTTCAATAAGTGCAAAACAACCTGATGATCCTTCCAAAAATCCAGTGAACTGATACATTCCTCTGCACATTGCAATGATATTTCAAGCAGTGTTATCAATCCTGCACAGTTATCGTTTGTAAACTAAAGTCTATGTTAAAGTGATAGTAAAGGTTCAATTTTTTTTTTCATTAAAATAACAAAAATGTTATACTTACAGTCAGGTCCATAAATATTGGGACATCGACACAATTCTAAAATTTTTGGCTCTATACACCACCACAATGGATTTGAAATGAAACGTACAAGATGTGCTGTAACTGCAGACTGTCAGCTTTAATTTGAGGGTATTTACATCCAAATCAGGTGAACGGTGTAGGAATTACAACAGTTTGCATATGTGCCTCCCACTTGTTAAGGGACCAAATGTAATGGGATAATTGGCTTCTCAGCTGTTCCATGGCCAGGTGTGTGTTATTCCCTCATTATCCCAATTACAATGAGCAGATAAAAGGTCCAGAGTTCATTTCAAGTGTGCTATTTGCATTTGGAATCTATTGCTGTCAACTCTCAAGATGAGATCCAAAGAGCTGTCACTATCAGTGAAGCAAGCCATCATTAGGCTGAAAGAACAAAACAAACCCATCAGAGAGATAGCAAAAACATTAGGCGTGGCCAAAACAACTGTTTGGAACATTCTTAAAAAGAAGGAACACACCGGTGAGCTCAGCAACACCAAAAGACCCGGAAGACCACGGAAAACAACTGTGGTGGATGACCGAAGAATTCTTTCCCTGGTGAAGAAAACACCCTTCACAACAGTTGGCCAGATCAAGAACACTCTCCAGGAGGTAGGTGTATGTATGTCAAAGTCAACAATCAAGAGAAGACTTCACCAGAGTGAATACAGAGGGTTCACCACAAGATGGAAACCATTGGTGAGCCTCAAAAACAGGAAGGCCAGATTAGAGTTTGCCAAACGACATCTAAAAAAGCCTTCACAGTTCTGGAACAACATCCTATGGACAGATGAGACCAAGATCAACTTGTACCAGAGTGATGGGAAGAGAAGAGTATGGAGAAGGAAAGGAACTGCTCATGATCCTAAGCATACCACCTCATCAGTGAAGCATGGTGGTGGTAGTGTCATGGCGTGGGCATGTATGGCTGCCAATGGAACTGGTTCTCTTGTATTTATTGATGATGTGACTGCTGACAAAAGCAGCAGGATGAATTCTGAAGAGTTTCGGGAATATTATCTGCTCATATTCAGCCAAATGCTTCAGAACTCATTGGACACCGCTTCACAGTGCAGATGGACAATGACCCAAAGCATACTGCAAAAGCAACCAAAGAGTTTTTTAAGGGAAAGAAGTGGAATGTTATGCAATGGCCAAGTCAATCACCTGACCTGAATCCGATTGAGCATGCATTTCACTTGCTGAAGACAAAACTGAAGGGAAAATGCCCCAAGAACAAGCAGGAACTGAAGACAGTTGCAGTAGAGGCCTGGCAGAACATCACCAGGGATGAAACCCAGCGTCTGGTGATGTCTATGCGTTCCAGACTTCAGGCTATAATTGACTGCAAAGGATTTGCAACCAAGTATTAAAAAGTGAAAGTTTGATTTATGATTATTATTTTGTCCCATTACTTTTGGTCCCTTAACAAGTGGGAGGCACATATGCAAACTGTTGTAATTCCTACACCGTTCACCTGATTTGATGTAAATACCCTGAAATTAAAGCTGACAGTCTGCAGTTAAAGCACATCTTGTTTGTTTCATTTCAAATCTATTGTGGTGGTGTATAGAGCCAAAAATGTTAGAATTGTGTCGTTGTCCCAATATTTATGGACCTGACTGTACCTGCCCTGTGTAATGTTTTACACAGAGCAGCCTCGATCTTCCTCTTTCCGGGTTCCCACGCCAGCACACCTAGCTCCTCCCCCCAATTGAGTGCCCCCATAGTAAGCCAATTCCTATGGGGGCACTTGTGCAGTCTCGCTCCTGAGCCGAGCTGCTTGCATCTATTCAAACACAGCCCAACTCGGCCCCGCCACCCACTCTCTGTTCACTGGTTTTGACTGAAAATTGCATGGGTCAATGGCTCCCACTGCACTCAGCCAAGCCTCTGAGAGCCAGGAGAGGAGCTGCTGCAGAGGTGCACAGCACTGGACCAAGATCAGGCTCAAGTGAGTATTTAGGGGGCTGGGATTTGGGGGGGGTGAGCTGCACTTGAAAGGTTTTTTACCTTAATGCATAGACTTTATTAATCACTTACGCTCCACAGGATTTACACCCCCCGACCAGGCCATTTTTTGCGTTACGTCGCTGCGTTACTTTAACCACTTGCCTACTGGGCACTTGCACCCCCTTCGTGCCCAGGCTGTCACACTTTGAATGACAATTGCGCGGTCATGCAACACTGTACCCATATGAAATTGTTATAATTTTT